GCTTCAGCAACAGCAGAATCAATAACCGCTTTACAAGCAAATTTACAAGTAAGAGCACGAAGACGTGTAGTTCTATCAGGAGGATTTAAAGGAGTGGGTTTTGCGTACGGATGATCTGGGTTGGTGGTCGGGTGCTCCACAGTGGGTTTACCTGAAGGACGAGGACGAGGAAAAGGACGAAGAAGAGGAAGAGGAACAGTAGGGAAATCAACAGAGGGTTTTGGCTTCGGAAAACGGAATGGCAATTCCGGGTTAACTCTGAATGGCTTCAATTTGAATGGGTTAAAGTTAAACAGCCTTAATGATCGACCGTGAAGATAAACCGGAGATGCATCAAGATGGTTGATAAGATAAACCAAAACTAACATCATCTTCATCATCATGTTCATGTTCATGTTCGCGATATTCAGTTTACGATGGATTTAAAGGAAATCGAAGATGAGTAGGGTTTGTATTAATATCCACAAGCTTGTATTGTATTTGAAGCCACATACTTCTCCTTCAACGACTTCAACTATCTATATATATTCAAAGTCTTCCTCGAACTGAACGTTCAACGAACCGTTCGGTGGGAAGCTCGTTTATTTAATAAATGAACGAACGTGAACAATTTTTTTTGTTCGTTTAGTTAAACGAACGATCATGAACAAGAGTCTCGTTCGTTCATTTACCGTTCGTTTATATTCGTTCGTTTATATATCAAATTTAATATAGTGTCTTTTATTTATTTACTTCGAATTCAAATAATATTCATTTATGTTCGTTTAGCATGTTCGTTTATGTTCATTTAGCCCATTCGTTTATGTTCGTTTAGCATGTTCGTTTAACGAACAAACATAAACAAACACGAACACACCTGATTTCTAAACGAACGAACACGAACACAAAGATTTTCGTTCATTTACTGTTCGTGTTTGTTCGTATGTTCGGTTAAGTTAATTGAACGAACATGAACAAACCTCCTTTCGTGTTTGTTCGGTTCGTTTACAACCCTATATACACAAGTATACAATTTCCCTTCATGGAGAACGTGACAAGCAATTTCATTCTTACACGTAAAAAATTATGGCAATCTTGTAATTATAACCAATTTTTGTATACCGTCGATGAACATGAGGAACACAAATTCCCTTGTGGCCACGGAGGTTCAAATGCGGTGACTCTGGACTACTAGCAAAGCAGATGGGATTAGTCGGCTCGCAAAACGGGTTGGATATCGAGGTTAATCAAAAAAAGCGACAACTAACATCTATCGTCCTCCGTCGTTTAACTTTGATACATCAATAAACGAAGAAGATGATGAGTTGTGATTCAAAAATGGGTCCGAATTTGATAAGAAACGAAGAAGATGAGGTCTCATCACGTGTTATGGTGTTTTTTTAGATTGGATTCCAACAAAAATGTAATTTTCGAACAAGAAAAGACAAGTTTAATTAGATTTGTATTTATATATATAACCATCGACCAAATTATATTTTAGATTTTTTATATTTAAAATGAGATGTTTATCCTGTATTTGATTGTGTTTATCTGCAGTTAGTTATACGAATTTCAGATATGGAGCTTTAATTAGTTGCACCTACGCACAATTTACTTGTAATCTTGAGTTTTAAGTAATATGCATTAATAAACAGTATTTTACGTATAAAAAATGGGTTTTAAGAGTTTTTGTCAAATGATTTAAAATATTTTTATATATAATTTAAGTTAATAATAAAATAATTTATTTTTGGTTTAATATTATAAATTTTATAAAGATATTAATTAAGTATTATGTTAGAATTTAATGATTATACTAATTATACTTTAGATTTTTTATATTTAAAATGGAATATTTATCCTGTATTTTATTGTGTTTATCTGCAGTTAGTTACACGAATTCAGATATGGGATAAAATCGAATAGAAATGAAATCGTTTAGAGATGAATGAGTTTAAGAGTTTTTAAGCGTTTTACCCGAATGCTTTATAAAATAGTATAGATATAGATATACTTATTAATATTATTTTTGCTCGGCATCCTTAAAGCGTCCTTTGTGACTTGTGAGGGACCAATTTTGAGCAGTATATACACATTCCAAATACACAGCTTCCTGCTTCCGCCACACTAAACTAATCCAAGGTAAATTTCAGGCGTGCACTATGTTTCGTGGCGTCTGCATACGTCGTTGTATCCTGGAAAACAAACGCATCGTTTGAGGCAAATCTGATCGTGTGTTAAACACGGGCCTTGGCTCACTTGTTTACTCTCGACTCGATCATGTTAACGTCATAAAAAAAGGTTAACGTATGTCGACTCATGTAAACCTCCGCTAACAAAGTACTTTTTTCTACGAAATTTTAATCGAATGCAGGCGAAGAAGATGAAGATGATGCTAGTTTCGGTATTGTTGTCGCTTTACCTGATCCGTGGATCAAGTGCACTCTTTAAGGGGCGCGTAAAGACGGAGACAGTCATTGATGGTACCGAGGCAGCCATTGACATTGGTCAGAATATTTACGGTTATTTCCAGGGTCCGCCAAGTCCTCAACAGGATCAAGCCCCTCATCGTTCATAACTTCCCGGCCGGTAATTATCGTAATGATCCGAATCAATTAGTTGCACCGAAGCCCATTCAACACCTGGGTTCACGTGGTAATATTATTCCTCATTGGGATCAATTAATCCCTCCCAAGCATGTTCATGGTCATGGTCATGGTCGTGGTCGTGCCCTGCTGCTATGCGTTATTTTATTGCTGCAAATCATATTAGCGTTGTTGCTCCTGCTCATGAAGACGGTGTCGGTCCTCCTTAAACTCAAGGTCGTACGCGCATGGTGGCTGCTGCTGCATATCGTATTCGTGTGGTTGTCTTTTCGATTATGATATATGTTGTTCGACGTTTGTCGGTTTGGTGGTTGTTTTTCTGTCTGAAGTGTGACAAATGACAATGGTTGTTTGTTGTATTATGGTTGTTTTCTATTTGTGTGTAAAAAATTTGTTGGTTGTTTGTTTTGTTGAATAAATAGTCTCCAACAAAATTATTTTGCTCATTAAATTTTTCTTACGCTTTAGTGTTATGATTCAACAAAATTATTTTGCTCATTAAATTATTTGTGTGTAAAAAATTCGTCATTGATTTGAAATTTCCCTGAAAAAACGAGCCCTAATTTCATTCCTTTGGCTATATATCAGATACAAAAACCAAGAGTCTAACCACAGAGCAAATGAAATTTCCCTGGCATTGGCATTGGCATTCGTCAATGACACAATTTCATATCAAACAGTTTCATTAACGAAACAATAACTATATAGGCATAGAATCTGATACTTAATCACGGACCCGAACAAGGGTCCTTTGTTTATTATCTTTCATTCAAACAAATAACCATATATATATGATACAAAAACAAACAACTACTTAACCACACCACGCATATATACTTTCCAATCCATGCTTAATTAAGGGAAACCCCGTCTGCAGGAGCAGGAGCAGGAGCATCCTGATTTCTAAACGAACAAACATAAACAAACACGAACACACTTGATTTCTAAACGAACGAACACGAACACAAAGATTTTCGTTCATTTACCGTTCGTGTTTGTTCGTATGTTCGGTTAAGTTAATGGAACGAACATGAACAAACCTCCTTTCGTGTTTGTTCGGTTCGTTTACAACCCTATATATACAAATATACAATTTCCCTTCATGGAGAAGGTGACAAGCAATTTCATTCTTACACGTAAAAAATTATGGCAATCTTGTAATTATAACCAATTTTTGTATACCGTCGATGAACATGAGGAACAAAAATTCCCTTGTGGCCACGGAGGTTCAAATGCGGTGACTCAGGGCTACTAGCAAAGCAGATGGGATTAGTCGGCTCGCAAAACGGGTTGGATATCGAGGTTAATAAAAAAAAAGCGACAACTAACATCGTCCTCCGTCGTTTAACTTTGATACATCAATAAACGAAGAAGATGAGTTGTGATTCAAAAATGGGTCCGAATTTGATAAGAAACGAAGAAGATGAGGTCTCATCACGTGTTATGGTGGTTTTTTAGATTGGATTCCAACAAAAATGTAATTTTCGAACAAGAAAAGACAAGTTTAATTAGATTTGTATTTATATATATAACCATCGATCAAGTTGCTACAAAAATACTAAAATTACACCATCAAACCACACAATCAAAAACTAGTGAATCATGATTATTGTTAGGGTCTCCCTAATTGCATATGGTCTTCAACCCATATATATATATATATATATATATATATATATATATATATATATATATATATATATATATATATATATATATATACTGTTTCAAATATAACTCATTGCATTTGTACAACCAATACAACTCAATTAATTGAGATATTTATAGAAATGATAAGAGTATATTTATTATGATTTGAATATTTATGAAAGATGAATATGGTTCATTAATTATGATCAATACTTTATATTAAGAAACAATCAAAACTTCCATGAAATCACATATTAATCAAAAAGTATTTATGCAACAATTTACCTGGTAAGCGTTTACCCGGGTAAGAGTCGTCTCCCTCACTTACCGGGTAAGATTCTCCGTCATTATCATCGCTCTTACTGGGTAAAATTCTTGCCCCTTGTCATGTTTATTCGATGAGGAAAATTTGCTCAGTAAGTACTTACCGGGTAAACGTTTAATAAACGGCCTCTAAGTTGTATATTGATGAGGTGATAAGACATGGTGTGCCCTTATCTGTTGTTTCAGATCGAAATAACCGATTCACTTCTAAATTTTAGGATGGTTTATAGAAAGAATTGGGTATAAAAATAAAGTTGAATATGACATATCACCTCATCAATACTATTCAAACTCTTGAAGACATGTTGAGGTCATGCGTCATCGACTTTGGAGGTAATTAGGACTCTCATTTATTATTGGTGGAGTTCTCCTACAATAATAGTTATCACTCGCATCCATTTGCACCTTTGGATGGTTTATAAAAAAATTTGATCATTAATTGTTTTATAAAATAATTTTTTTTGGTATTATTTTGAAATTATTTTATTTAAAGGACCAGAAGCAATGAGCATAAACGCCATTTCTATTCATCTCCTTCATGGCCACTGATTTATGGCTACTAATTCATCTCCTCTTTCTGTCTACTATTTCCGCCTCCGGCGACGGTAACGGTAAGCTTACTCTATACACACACACACACACATATATATATATATATATATATATACATATGTAGGGTTGGATTTATGTGAGACCAAGGGTTTTTCGTGAGACCCGTTTCACCAATTTATGTTCATTGATCAACTTTATAAGCTAACGATCTAATGATCTAAAGTTGCATGGCGACAATTTTGTGATTACTGAGAAGTCTTGTGGCAATTTGTGATTATGAATGTTGAGATTGTAGATCTAATCCAAGGATTGAGAATTGGTCGAGTCTCACGAAAACCCTTGGTTTTACATGATCCCAGTCTACATACATATATAGGTTCAATTAAGAACTTAAAATTGATTAGGAACTCAGGAATCGCATACAATATATATATATATATATATATATATATATATATATATATATATATAGAGGGATGTTATTCTACACCCTTTGCCATTCCTACACCCTATACAACCCTCATCTCAACCATTCACTTTTTAATCAATTAATTGTTTCCTAATATAAAGTATTAATCATAATTAATAAACTCTATTCATATTCCATAAATATTCAAATCATAATAAATGAACTCCAATCATTTCTATAAATATTTCAAGTAATTGGGTTGTACAAGGTTGTACAAATGCACAAGGTTGTAAAAGAAATATACCCTATATATATGGAGTTTTGATTCGTTTCCTTTGCAGAAGTGTACTTCGTGAGCATAGATTGCGGGGGATCGAATAATTTCACTGATGAAAACCTTATCGAATGGAACGGGGATGATAAGTTGATCTCGCAGGGTGTTTCGCACGAGGTGAAATCTGATTACTCGATATCTCGTGTTTACGACACATTGAGGGCTTTCGACAATGCCCGTAACAAGAATTGCTATTCAATAGAAGCAAAAGAGGGGCAAAAGGTTTTGGTTCGTGTGGTTTTTAACTACGGGAACTACGACGGAAGGAACTCTGCTCCGACGTTTGACCTTCATTTCGATGGGAACTTTTGGGTCACTGTCAACACTTCGGAAGCAACATTGTATGAAGCTATTTATGTTGTGAAAAGGAACGTTATCGGTGTCTGTGTGGCACGAAAATTTCCGAACCAGGTTCCGTTTATATCGTCTCTTGAAGTCCGTGGCATCGACCCCGAAGCCTACGACGGTCGCAGTCCGGATTACGCGTTACTCACCAACTATAGGATTGGTTTTGGCCTATCTGATGAAACTATAATCAGGTATGCAAGGCTTAACGCTTAAGCTCGTCAACATGTCATACCTTACGTCATTTTACAACATTGGATATGAATAACAACACCGTAACATTTCTACTACTAATTATTACATAATCATTTAAACCCTTGACCTCACATTTGGTGAAGTTTGAACCATTGATCTCCTATGAGACCAATGACTCACATACCGCTAAACCAAAGGCCCTTTGGTTATATAGAACACTTTTCATAGACATAAAAAAGCAATAGAATGATTTACTTATCGATTGTTGAAGTCATCGTATATATTGGTCTCTATAACCTAACTTAACCTGATGAACCCGCTATTCTTTTATTTCTTGGATTTAGTATGATTGTTGAATTTCTATTAATATATACATTACACAATTATACTATCATATATGCTTTTCATATACACATATTTTCAATCTATTCACATCTGTATATAACTCATTCRTATATATGTTCAGTAAATGTAAACGTATATATGTAAATCGAGAAAATTAATTGAATGTGATATACGTAAGAATTATGGATAAGTTGTAACAAATGGTTGATGATGAAAAAGAAATATGAGTACAGGAATAACATATTCAAGGTTAGAAGAATATTTTAATGTACCAAAGTATCAACCCGACCAAACCCGTACGGGTTGCACTTTGATTTGGGTTGGGTTGGGTTGGGTTAAGTTTTTTTGAAACCGCAAGCATTGGATTGGTGGGTTGTTCAAATGTCTTCAACTCGATCAACCCAACCCATGAGCACCCCTAGTGTCGTCTATCCATGTTTTAGAATATTCGATTAATGCAAAATCTTTTTAACTTTTAAGATTTCCGGAAGACCCGTATGATAGAATATGGGTTCCCGAGAACATTGGTATTGGACTAGTACGTCTTAACGACACATCTACCATCGATGACAATTCAATCGATAATCCTCCTACACGGGTCATGAATGGTGCAATTGCGACAATGGACACAGATCATTTCATAACCTTGAGCTTCTCTATCGTTAAGTACCCCATTCGTTATCCAATGTACATAAACTGGTATTTCACTGAAGTCCAAGGGCTCGGGCCTGGAGAATACCGGTCTTTCGAAATCTACAAAGACGATGATAACATCTCAGTCCCAACTGTACCGCGTATCGGTTATGTGTCTCAATATTTCGTCCCGGATCTCTCCGTCAATGGCACCATTAACTTCTCCATCGTTGCTACCGATGATTCCACGCTTCCCCCTCTCATCAATGCCATCGAGATCTTTTCGATCAGTGATGCCCTAACCAATGGAACCGACGACAACGACGGTATATTTTTTAACACCTGTTTGTTTTCTTTTTTCTTTTTAACCTGGATATCCAATCCGCTATGCGAACCGACTAATCCCAGGGCGACTACCTGCAAAACAAGCAGGTAGCTCGGAGTCACCGCATTTGAACCCCCGTGGCCACAAGGGATCTTTGTTCCTTCTTGGATTTGAACCTGGGACCTCGGGGCACTTTTGACATTTGGAGTCAAGCTCAAACCAATCAGGCACCACCCCTTGTGGTTGACACCTTTGAACCTCCGTGACCACAAGGGGATTTTTGTTCCTTCTTGGATTTGAATCTGGGACCTCCAGACAGTTTTGTTGAAATTTTTTAGTTTCCATTTTATCACACAATTTCTTATTACATATTTTTTCCCGTTTATTGATGTAGCCGAAGGTTTAGATTCTCTTAAAAGCGCATTTGACGTTTTAAAAGATTGGGGCGGAGACCCGTGTCTTCCCGCACCATATTCATGGGATTGGATCGTATGCAACGATGATCCTAGACCTCGTGTAACATCGCTGTAAAGACCATCTTTATATTCCGTAAACCCGAAAAAAAAAGCGATTTAATTTTGATTTTTATATAAATGTTTTTTTTTGGACAGAAATCTGAATGGTTATAGCCTCTCTGGGCCACTTCCGGACTTTAGGAGCATGGATGCTCTTGAAATAATGTGAATTTATAATTTAATTTAATCATTTTTTTAATTATTTATTAGTCATAATTAAATAATTATTTTATAATATATGTTTTTATATCTGCAGAGATTTACATAATAACAGCTTGACTGGATTTGTACCTGATTTCCTTGGCGATATTTCAAACCTTAAACAACTGTGAGTTCTTAATTCCATGCATAACATCGATTTTATCTGTGAACGTCTGTTTACAAAAGAATTTATGAACGATAATTAAATAATTATTTTATAATATGTGTTTTATATCTTCGAGAGTTATCTTTAATATATTCATTTTTTACATAGAAATTTGGCAGATAATCAGTTCAAAGGATCCATACCGAGGTCACTATTAAGAAATTCCCAGTTAAATTTATCGTAAGTTAATCTTTATGTTATTTTATTCTGTATGCTTTGTAAATATCTCTGTATTTTGAAAATGTTTTTGTAAATTATTTGACAGATATACAGGAAACCTTTTGTTAACGAGTAGCTCAAATAAAAAGAAAACATGTAAATTGTCAGTGATACTTGCTATCGCCATTCCGGTGTTCTTCATTGTCTAGGCTATCACGGGCTTTTTGGTCATTTCTGCTTCATGCAGGTTAGCTTCCATAAATAAATTGTTCAGATCGGTGTTGTTATAATAAGCTATTTTTAATAAGCTCTTGATTGGTTAGCTTTATATATATATGTATGTATATATATATATACACACACATGTTCGAGATATTTCGAGAGTGATGAAGCGTTTGTATCGTCAATATTTGTGAATATTTGGTTTGTTTCATGATGAGGTGTGGAAGATGAATTTCATGCATGCATGGGTATATTTTATTAGTTTATAGTAGTAAATTTTTTCTTTTCTTTTGTTCAATGATCAATTTCTGTTTTCATGAAATCAGTAAAACGATTTCTACTAAGTTTCATCAAACAATTTCTTACATCAATGAAACAGTGTCATGAGAGTGTTAACAGTTTCGTCAATGACACAATTTCATAAGACGGCTTCATCAAACAATTTCATTAATGAAACAGTAACTTGTGTATTGGTGAAGTTCGAGAAGGAATGTTTAAGCTTTAGTCTTTCGCTTCTCTTTGGACCTGTTCGATGAAATGCATGTATCAGCAAATATGTTCTTTTAGAGATCTAAAGCCATGAATCAAACCCTATTTTCTTACTGCTAACGAAATCCCCCATGGTTATCTACAATTTGGATTTGTGTTTGAATCTTTTGTTAATTTGAATACCAGGGTTTTGATCATGTTTGCATAAATCACAGAGTTCATCTGGTTTCTTTGAATAGGCGCACTAGTAAGTTTGACTATTTTGCCCTTCTATGCTTTTTTTACTTCATGAAATATTAATATTTTTTTATTAACATAAATAACTCAATCTCATCTTGATCCTATATCATTAAAATCTACGGTAGGAAGGGGGTAGCACGGTTTGTATTGATATAGTGGTTTGCAAGAAATGTGATAAGGGTTACATACATACATACATACATACATACATACATACATGCATGCATGCATGCATAGGGGTTAAATAAAATGAGAATCACAAAAATGTGACAGTCCCGTGAGAAAATATTTTAAAAATAAATTATTATATGATTTTTTTTCATCAAGTAGTAGGATTTAAGATATTGCTTCACATATATTTGTTTCATAATGTGATAGTTTCACATGTATTTGTTTCACCATATGAATATTTTTTATGTGTAATTTTTCGTTTTACTAAATGAATCAAAAAAAAAGTTTTGCATACAATTTTTTTCATAAGGTGAACATAAACATATGTAAAACAATATGTTAAATCATAGTTTTTGATAAAAAAAAAATCATATAAAAAGATATTTTTATATCGGTTCTCAGATTTTTGTAACGTTTTAATTTGTGGTTCTCATTTGATTATCGTCACACACACACATACACACACATGTATATATATATATATATATATATATATATACATACATGTGTGTGTGTGACGATAAAACGAGAACACCTCCATTTTACGAGAACGCGAGAACACCCTTATCACATGTGATAATACGCGTGAGGGGATCATTTGATGTGTGGACGACGTATTCTACGATTTAGGTCGCGCCAAAGGTTGTTTGCATCTATGATTTAACATTACATGTGATGGTCTTGATGGATTACAGTATCATATCAACAACAACCTTATAACATGTGATAATAGTTGTGAGTGGGCTTAGTGGTTTAAGGGCGACTTGGTTCGCAACCAAGATTGCATCGAAAATCGTCTGCGTCTCTGATTTTGTATTGCATATGATTATCTATAGTAAAGGGTGTTCCCGCTTTCTCGTAAAATAAATGTATTCTCGTTTGAACCTTTCCATATATATATATAGGGGCCTATTCAAGGGAGAACTGAGTTGTTTGTGGTAACTGTGAGAACCAATATTAACCACAAATTAATAGATAAATTAGGAAATTTATAAATTTGGTAATTTTAAATTAAAATCTTAAT